TCAAGACTTTTTTTTTTTTTTAGGAAGGTCTCTTCCCATTTACTATGGGAAGCTGCTCTGGAGAATAACAGCCGATTAAGAACAAAGTTCTTCAGGGTAAAGGAGCGTTCTCCTGTTGATAAAAGTCAGTCTGGACCCCCACACCTACCTGAGGTGGGCATCCCAGGTGTAAGCATAAGCAGCCAGATGGAAATCAAACTTTCACAGAAAGAAAATGGGCAAAAGAAAAGGTAAGTCCCTGTAGAAATACTCCACCTTCCCCAGTCTGACTGTGTTTGTGTTTAACAGCCCTCAACACAGTTTTCATCCACAATTTCTCCAGTCGCTCCGTGAACTCAATGTTCACACCTTGTATTTCCACTGTGTGATCATCAGTTGTGTGACAAACAATCTCCTTTGGGAAGTTTAAGAGCTTTGAAAAGCTTACCTCTCGTGGGGGAGGCTTAACTGACACTTCTGAGACCGGCACCTTCTCTGCTGGCTGAGACAGGAACTCTTCATTCTTTAAGGCAAAAGCAGCTTTAAGGCAGAGAAGCCCCTGGGGAAGCCAAGCCCCAGCCAGGCCCCCTCAGCCCCATCTCTGTGTCGGCCTTTCCATGGCTCCCCCCACCCAACTTCCCAGAGCTACTGGCAAATATTTCTAGCACTTGACACAAAATTCTCCTTTAACTTCTGTTGTTGCTTTTAGCAGCTTGGACTAATGTAAGGAATTCACTTTAGCCTTATGCCAAGAACCATATACTCTGCCTTTCTTATTCGAGAGATTTTTTGGAGACTCTGTCCTGGGCAGCCCAAGTTCACCAGGAGAGATGAAAACGAGTCACCTTTAACTGTCTTCTCTGGGCTAAATGTGCCTGGACTGAAGTCTCTGGATTTATGTGAATGCAGCAACTCAGAAATAACAGCCACATGGCCCATTAACTAGTTAAACCACACCAGCTGGGAGCAAGAGCCTGAGCTGGTAGCGCTGCGGTGGCAGTGGGGCAGGCTGTGGGCCCCGACCCCGTGGGTATGGCCCTGCAGAGGATTTCAAACTGGGCTTTACTGGGCTTCCAGCCCAGCTCCTTCTGCGCCCAGGCCTTTACACCAATGAAAAGCTGCCTTTCCTAAGGTTCAAAAGCACAAACACTGCTCGGTGACAGCACGGACAGTGTCATTATTAACATATTTACAACATAAGTTAAAATGGGGCAGGGGGGGCAGGGGCCCAGTACAAATAAGAAGCTGGTACCATCCAGGTAGCCTGAGCATGGCCTAGTTGCTAATGAGCTTGGAGCAGAGGGAGAGGCTCCTAAGTGTGACTGACACCTTTCTGTGCAACAGCCTCCTGGAAAGGGGCTCTTCCCTTCCCAGGGGGTGCAGAGATGACTCTGGGGGGTCCTGGCTCAGCCTAGAGCCCGTTGGCACCGGCCTTGCTGCTCGGGGACGCCTCCAGCTTTGTCTGGGGAGAAAGTGGCAGATTTTAGAGATTTTTTTTTTAGGCAGTACCGATATAAATGCTTCTTGAAATTCAAGACTTTTTTTTTTTTTTAGGAAGGACGCGGGACAGGGATCGATGCCCTGGGATCGCATCAGCAGCAGCTCAACCATCCCTCCATCCCCCCCAGGGCTCCGGAGCGCAGGTCCCTGGCTCCCCTGGCAGACAAAGGGGGGGTCCCCAAAAGCACAAACACTGCTCAGTGACAGCACGGACAGTGTCATTATTAACATATTTACAACATAAGTTAAAATGGGGGCAGGGGGGGCGGGGGCCCAGTACAAATAAGAAGCTGGTACCATCCAGGTAGCCTGAGTGTGGCCTAGTTGCTAATGAGCTTGGAGCAGAGGGAGAGGCTCCTAAGTGTGACTGACACCTTTCTGTGCAACACAGCCTCCTGGAAAGGGGCTCTTCCCTTCCCAGGGGGTGCAGAGATGACACTGGGGGGTCCTGGCTCAGCCTAGAGCCCGTTGGCACCGGCCTTGCTGCTCGGGGACGCCTCCAGCTTTGTCTGGGGAGAAAGTGGCAGATTTTAGAGATTTTTTTTTAGGCAGTACCGATATAAATGCTTCTTGAAATTCAAGACTTTTTTTTTTTTTTAAAACACTGCTCGGTGACAGCACGGACAGTGTCATTATTAACATATTTACAACATAAGTTAAAATGGGGCAGGGGGGGCAGGGGCCCAGTACAAATAAGAAGCTGGTACCATCCAGGTAGCCTGAGCATGGCCTAGTTGCTAATGAGCTTGGAGCAGAGGGAGAGGCTCCTAAGTGTGACTGACACCTTTCTGTGCAACAGCCTCCTGGAAAGGGGCTCTTCCCTTCCCAGGGGGTGCAGAGATGACTCTGGGGGGTCCTGGCTCAGCCTAGAGCCCGTTGGCACCGGCCTTGCTGCTCGGGGACGCCTCCAGCTTTGTCTGGGGAGAAAGTGGCAGATTTTAGAGATTTTTTTTTTAGGCAGTACCGATATAAATGCTTCTTGAAATTCAAGAGAAGCATCCAGCTTTGGCGGGTTCTTTTGGCGTTTAGAAACCTGTTTTTTGAAGGTTTTTGCGGGTTTGGGCTGGTCACGCGTCCTGCCCTGCCCGGCGGAGAGCGGGACGGACGGACGGACGGACGGACAGGGGCTGGGGACGGAGGGAGGGGGGGGCCGCTCCCAAACAGCCCATTTCGGGACTTTTCCACCCAAAGAACTGCCTGGTGCTGCTCTCTGCCGGCGCGCAGCGGCACCGCCGGGCTCCGGGGGCCGTGCGGGGCC